TGGCCGTCAAAGAGCATTAAAACCCTGTTTCTGCTGCATTCTGATTTATTCAGGCACGGACCGCTCTGACACGTCTGCTTTGGGATCTCACCTGTTTGGGTCATCGGCCGCGCGCGTCCTCTGAGTGCAGCGGCTGAATGAACGTCCATTTGGGCGATGGATCACTTCCTGGCAGTACAGTCCCATCCGAAGCTTAACTGAACTTTATTTTACCTCTTTCAAGGCCGGTCAGCTCGCGGTGAAATGGCCGCGTGCGGCTGGTGAAGGTATGGCAAGCCATGTTGCCATATATTTGGATATTATGGCAAGCCATGTTGCCATATAATTGGATTTTATGGCAAGCCGTGTCATCATATAATTGGAATTTATGGCAAGCCGTGTTGCCATATAATTGGATTTTATGGCAAGCCATGTTGTCATGTAATTGGATTTTATGGCAAGCCATGTTGTCATGTAATTGGATTTTATGGCAAGCCATGTTGCCATATAATTGGATTTTATGGCAAGCCGTGTTGTCATATAATTGGAATTTATGGCAAGCCGTGTTGTCATATAATTGGATTGCGGCTGATCCGCTGATTCAATCAAAAGCCCGACACCGACCTGGTCCGCCCATCCAGCACATTATCATGGCCCGACCTGTCCTGAATTTGGGCCGGGCTGGACTTCGGGCCCGGGTTAGAAGTGACAGCTCTAACCCAAACACAATGGGTTATTTGTTTTGGCTTTATTTGACTGCTGTGTCAATTATTTTGTTATTTCAAATCCGACCCGGATTACTTTTATACGCGTTATTAAATCGGATACGTCCGGTGTTTTTCTTATTTTTTAAAGTTACCGCGGTCAGAACGGTCGTGTCGCATTTCATCCAACTTTTACGTCTTTGTAGGCGATTTATTGATAATATTGATGCCAATGTCGTGCAGTCGGAAGCTTCGAACTCTGCACGTCTGCTACAGAAGTCCGTCTTGTCTTTTTAAAACTTTTTATAGGCCCTTCTAGGCGTATTACGGTAAAGTCCAGGGTTCTGCAACGTTTAGCATCGAAGGAGTCATTTCTGCCCCTTTGTTCACGAAATAAAACGAGTCCAGAAACCGGCTTCAACTGCGACTATCAACTGGTGGCCCGTGGACCACTTTGAGTTTGTTGGACGGGGCCTTTCTGACCCATTTATAAAATTTAAAAATATCTAAAAATTATTTGTATTTACAAGTATTTTAAATTTGTAAGACAAAATAAAAGACCAGATTGATATAAGGAGGGTGGGGGGTGAACTATGCACGTCCAGTGTTTCCCATAGTTTACTTGCCTTGGGAAGGCGCTTGTCTGCAGGGTATTTGTTGACGGGGTGGGGGGTAAGCAGGCCACTCGGTTCTGTTGACAGGGTGGGACGCCCTCCTTGAATAATGGTAAGGACGCTGATGTCTTTGTAATTTCATTTATTTATTTAATTGTGGGAAAGTTACGTATTCTACATAAATTATAAAGTAAAGTGAGCATGTGTTACTCCTTGTATTAGTACTAGTATTCACATAGACATGACAGGAAAACCACGTTTTGTTGTCGGTTTAACGAAAACGACTTTTCACATTTTCCAGACAGAAAAAACAAAAATTTGGGAAAACTCCGGGAATTCGAGCACCGATCAGCGGATTATAGATAATCTGTGAGATTGCAACGTGTTCGTGTATTAACGCTAGTATTCTGGTATCAGTGTTCTGCTCCTACAGTGTACATGTTGACTTATTGATTGGCTGCGGCAGCTTTTAGTATCAGATGTTACACAGTATAATTAATTATTAGGATCGATTGCTGTATGCAGCCGCCGTAGGCTGCAGAATACGGAGCTTACTCAGTGAGTTTTGTTTTCATGGAATGCCGGGAACTCTGGCATCAGTAACTGTAAAACGACTGATCATAGACAACACAATCTGCTGCTTTCATTAAATTAACTTCTACCATTTGACATTTTTCAATGGATGTGGACGTTTTTGTACATCGACCTGAGATGACCTTTGACTCACGAACAAACTGAAGCTTTCGGTCTTTGACTGACAACGTAAACAAAGTTCTGCTTCCTCCGATCGGTTTGAATATTCGCTGCTTCTCCCCCGACAGGAAGTGACTGACGACGGCTGCAGAACGATCTTCCTGCAGAACATCTCACCAGCCGAAATCAAGGAGGTCAGGGAAGTGGTCTTCAAAAACTTTTCCGTCAGAAACTTCCTTCCTCTGCTGGATAAGGTGCAAACGCACGCAAAGTACGAGAACGTGTGTCGTTTGAGCGTCTTCCTGTTTGACCGGTCTGCGCTGTGTTTTAACAGCTCTACGTAGAGTTTAAGTCGATCGACGACACCGACCTGCTCGGACTTTGGTACAGCCAGATGGATTACGGCTACCAACACAAGCTGTTCAGATTGAAGCCGCCACACGTACCCTCCAAGACGCCAAGTAAGAGTTCTGCTCTTAAACTACACATGAGGGACAGATGATGTTCTTTCCTTCTTCCTTCTTGCCTTCTTCTCTTCTTTCCTTATTTCTTTCTTCTTTCGTTCTTCATTCTTTCTTCTCTTCTTTCTTTCCCTCTTGTCTTCGTTCCTTCTTCTCTTCTTTCCTTCTTTTTTCTCTTTCTTTCCTTCTTACTTTCTTCTTTCTTTATTTCTTTCTTCTTTCGTTCTTCCTTATTTCTTCTTCTTTCTTTCTTCCTTCCTTCTTTCTTTCTTTCTAATCTGGTTTGGATTTAACATGGCCTGGATGACTGAGAATCTTAACCAGCGTATTTGTTGGTTTTACTACGTTGAGTTGTCAACATTTTACATGGATTTGCTGCCGAGTCTAATTTTAATTATCTTCTTCATCAAATGTTTCAACAGTAAAGCCTAACCTCCCTCAGGGCACCGTGCCACCATTTTGGATCACCATGAAAATTGCTCCATATGCATTCCCTACTCTCACCCCATGGTTCAACATCCCAGGTAAAAAAAAAAAATAAAAAATGAAAAACACCCAAATTATTTAACTATCTCATTTAAAGATACTGACTTTTAAATCTTGTTTTTAATTCCTAGAATGTATCATAATTGATAAACCCACCTCTGTTTTGGTATGAACCTTCTTCACTCACCATATTTTTCTTTACTTTTTTAAAATCTAAATTAAGTTCTAAAATTTTAAACTTTTATTTATTTATTTTTTTTTTTTCATTTAGAAACAGAGCTTTGAAAATTTGAACTCGTTCACCATCATGCTGACGGGTTTGCCAGAAGAAGGCTACCAACACGAGCAGATCGTGAAGCGTGTCTGGTCTCATTTGTTCCCCAAGACTATTCAGACTCTGTACTCGGATGTGATCGTGCTGCCGATGCAGAGGAGGGTAAGGAGCTGACACTAAAAAGAAAAACTACAACTGTTGGATAAAAATATCCTTTATTTATTTACTGACTCAAATAAACCACACTCGACGGGAGAAGGTTTTATTAACTGGCTTTACTTGCAAGGCAGACCTTCACAACAGGTTACACAGACGTATAGAAGTTTTACATACATGGAGCCCAGTCAGGAGAATCTGCCACGGGCAGCGTGTGAGACTTGTTTTTATAACCTTATCAGCTCTCACAGCTGATAAGGTTATAAAATCTGGCCGGTGACCTTGGCCATCCAGCTGCTCATGCAGGATCAAATCAGCTCCTGATTCAATTCTCTGCGAGAGAAAAGAACTCTGCTAACTCAAACACGTGGTTCATGGGCACTTAACATTCTCAGCCGTAGTACCGTAAATCTCAGGTTTTAAGACGCACCTGTCTCTAAGCCGCACTTATTAAATATAAGATAAATCATAATTTTGTACATAAATTAGACGCTCCGGTTATTTAGTCGCGGGCATCCACCGTTCATCAGGAACTGTGCCTCCAGACTGCTCCGGCTGCGTGCGGCTTTCTTGTAGTACAACAATCAGCCAGCAGGTGGAGATTCACAGAATATAACTTACTTTCAACACACACTCAGACTGCAAGATCGTTACAAGTATTAATGAAGATTCACTGTCTGACTCATGGTTACAATGAATGAATTTTACTAAAATGACTTTACTTGGTAAAGTATTCAGTCTCAAAGTATAAAAATAAAATTGATCCTTCTGTTATTTAGATTGAAAAAGTCTGCACAAAATACAGATCAATAAATCCACCACAAAAACTAAAGTGCAGGTGCAGTTTCCCAAAATAACTAAATAACATGAAGCTTAAGATCTGTTGAGCATAAATGTAACATACAACAAAATATATGTTTCTTTAAATGAGCTGTAACTTCCAGAGCATGTAACAACGTGATCTTCTGACCCTGAAGCTTGTGGAGTTTCAGCTTCCTCTGTTCCTGCAGGAATGATTCATTTCTCTGATGCTCCGTCTCTGATCACCTGACTCTGTTCTTGCTCCATGGACTAGACAGACCTGCGCGTGTTTGTACCGGCAGTTTGGAGCGGGGGGTCCCGGCCGAGCTGTGCCCACACCGGCAGCCCAGAGCGGGTGCAGGGAGAGGACAAAAGCCGAGCTGCGCTGGTGGGGGGGGAGGGAGAGACAGTTGAGCTGTCACGGTCTGTACCAGCAGTTTAGAGCTGGATGGAAAAACGCAGCCGAGCCGCGCGTTGTTTGTTTTTAGCATTTTAGCTAGCTAGTGTAGTGCACGGCTACTTTGCGTTACGCCAGTACCTACAGGTGGATGGGGGAGTGCGCAGTTTGGTTCAGTAGTTCGACGCGCTCGGTTCTGTTAACGGGGCGGGGCAAACACTGACGTACTAACGTCATGAAATTAGCATATCATGATATCATTTATTTTCCCGGGCAAGCTTTTTTTTACCGGTATTATCGTAAACGATATGATATAGCCCAGCCCTACCCAGAAGTCTTAGAGGTCATGTGACTGGAAGTCAAATAGTACCGGTAGAATGCAGTAAATATTCGTTAAATTAATACCATTGATTTTTATTGATAAACACTTTTGTTAACAACTGCTGTTTTTAAATGTACTTTCTAAATAAATTTGACGTGATTCAGCAGAGCTCATATGAGGAGGGGGGGAGGAAGGAAGGGGGAACAGCCCTCGTTCTTTTTTTCCCTTCTAATGCCCTTAATCTTAAATGAGATACTGGTATTTAAACGCATATTTACCGTGCACAGAAAGATAAAAAAAAAAACTTTTATTGAAATATGCACATGTCTTGACTGACCGCTTTAAAAATAAATCTGACAACTTGTCCACCGTTAAGTCTCATCTACAGAAGGGGGGGGGGGGACTCCTTCTGTTTCTCCGCTTCGTGTTCGGATGTGACTTTAAAATGAGATCCCGGTATTTAAACGCCTATTCACCGACACAGAAATAATTTAACAACATTTATTACATGTACCAGACTCGACTGCTGTTGCGTCTCCAATGTCGGACCATCGACACACGTTGATGCAGCGTACGGCTGCAGCCGTTTCCTCCTCGACAGCCGATCGCTTTTAACACGAAAGCTGCGTCATAAGAAATTCTCCGTGCGTTTTCCATTATCGCTGAACAAATGAACGGGTCTGCGCGTGAAGCGCAAAATACGATAATGTAGCGTGAAGCTTCACTGCTCTAACTACGACCCCTGACCCTTATTCATCTTCCAGACTCACCATGAATCGTGTTTTTCAAAGTCACATTTGACTTCATTAATGATTTGTTTTTCTTAGAAACGTAGGAATTTTTTTTTTGTTGAAAAACACGATTCATGGTGAGTCTGGAAGATGAATAAGGGTCAGGGGTCATAGTTAGAGCTGTGCAGCTTCATGCTACAATAAACAACACGGGAACGATCTGAAGAAATTAATTCACGTCTAGCTTTGGGGACGTTCCTCGATAGTACCTCGTTGGTCATTCATGTTAGACTTCTGGTCACATGACGACAGAGTGGGTGGAGTTACGGTGGGTATTTGAAACCGTGAGCAAGAGTCGTTGTACATCTGATTACCTGAGGGCGTTCTCTCTGTGACACAAACTCCTGCCCCCATGAGAGGCTGGGTGCTGGGAGCCTTGAGCGCCTAGCTCTGTCAAAGGAAAGTGGCAGGAAGTTACCGACAGAAGGCAGGGAGTCTTTCAAAATAAAATAGAAATTTATGAAAAAAATACATAAATAAGACACTCCTGCGTATAAACTGCGGCAATCACGGTAGTTATAGACATCAAGTCAAGGTTCTTTATTGTCATTCGCACCACGTGTGTTACATGTGGTGGAACAAAATTGTGTACACAGGGCCCCAGTTACATTCAACATCCATGAACCTTGACCAGAATCTCTTCAGCTCCTCCTGAGTGACCCCAAGGTGTTCCCTAAGAGTTCTGGGGTCTTCTCCCATTAGGACATGCTCAGAAAACATCCAAGAACCACCTCAGCTGACTGTTTTCAGTGCAGAGGAGCAGCGGTTCTACTCAGAGCCCCTCCTGGGTGACGGAGCTCCTCATCCGATCTCTAGGGGCTGAACCCAGCCACCCTGTGGAGGAAGCTCATTTCAGCCGCTAAACCTTTTGGTCGTGATCCAAACCTCATGACCACAGGTGGAGGTTGGAACATAGACAGAACAGTAAATCAAGAACTTTGCCTTTCGACTCAATTCTTTTGTCCCCACTGCAACCAACCGAAGCAACGTCCTCATTACTGAGGACGAGGCCTGATCCGTTGATCCATCTCCCGTCCCTCAGGAGGAATCTGAATGATCGCAGGCTGTAGTGCAAAAAAACATGAAAATGTTTATTTGCCACATTTGAGATTTGTGTTACGAGTTCATAACGACACCATTGGGCAATTCCAGGAGCTAAAATGTCCGAGTTGTTTTATTTTTTTAACGTTCACGTCTTAATGAATAATCTTCATGAAATTCTCATTCTTCTATTTTTTTTTTTTTACTCACTAATATTCTTTACCAGCAACCAGAACCTCATATAATAGGTGCCTGCCATGCACCTATTATTCTACACCTCGGAAGTGAGTCTACATTTCTATCTCAGTTAATGTGGCCTGAACCACAACATCTACCCCAACAAAAGTTATATCAAAACGACCGGCTCGGCCCCGTGATGTGTGCTATTACTTTTATTGGAATTTCGAGTTACCATTGCATCGCAGTTTGCGAAAAAAGACACAATATTTCACCAACTCCAGGAACTAGTTGGTGACTGCCCACTTATTATTCTACACCTGAAAAGCGTATCTTTTTCAACTTTAAGGCGGCCCAAAACGCAAAGTGGACCCCCACAAAAGTTACGTCCAAACGACCGGCCCGGCTCCGAGATGTGTGCTATTACTTTTATTGGCAATTGGCGTTACCATGGCGACGTATTTTGCTAACGAAAATGACAAATTTCGCAAAGGAAATGAATAGGAGAAAACTTTTCAAAGAAACTGAGTAACGTCGGGAGCCATTTTGGTTCAACATGCTTGGAAGGTACCTATTATTATTATTAATTAGTAAAAAATAATAATTAACTTAAATTATTAATGATTCATTGTAATAATTACAAATAATAACATTAATAATTACTAATATTCATATTATTATCAAATATATTAATTGTTTATAAAAATTAATAAACCAACCATATGTTAATATTAATTATTAATATTATTCATATTTATTAATAATAACAATTTAATAATACATAGGCAGTCCCCGTCAAAGTTTCTCCAGGAACTTTCTAGTATTTGTCATTATTGTCCAGCTTGGGGATTTACCTTTTTATTAAATACAGGACTGGTTGCCAGGTGAAAAATCGCCCAATTTTAACAAACTACTGATCATTTTAAAGCTTTAGAGATGGAGAATTTGAACCAAATCACTTAATGTTGAAAAATTATTTATTGTGAGGCACTTAGCTAGTTTTATAAAACAACATTTGTGTACAACACTATAATTTTTTGACGATTTAAGATTAGTTTTTAACCGTTTTTTTTTGGACGGGCTGTACTGAAATGAAATTTCATAAAGTGGCCGTGACATGCTTATCCTACAAATAAAATGGACGAAACAGCTTACTATTTAAGAAATTTGGCATAATATATGTGATTTTATCCATTTGTCACATAGCTGTAATATTTTCCTTTGAACTTGGTGCAGCCAAAGTGATACAGGAAGTGACATCAAAGGGGAACTTCCTGGTCTTTGTTTATTAAAACGTTATTTGAACTTGCATGCATCCGGTTATTTGAACTTGAACTCCATCTCTTTCTGATAGAGGCTAAATAATCCAAAGAAACATCAGATTCTTCTCTGTGTGTGTTATCAGCCGTTGTCGTGATGTTCGCATGCAGGCGTTCCCCTTTGTCATCACTTCCTGTTCCTGCGCATGTGAATATCTCAACAACTGTTCATCACAGCAGAGTGAAATTTCATTTACAATACGTTATTAATGTTGTCTTTCCAAAAATGCATTAATATTTATTAAAAACATTTGACTTCATGGACACTTGAAACAGTATCTGCAACAGGTAGGATGTTGTTTGCTCTTCATATTTGTAGAATCCCACTTTAAAAGAAGTTTTGTGTTCAGTTTTCCGTTGTTCTGGCTTGAACTTGCCCTGGAGTCATGAAACCCTTCTTCTCTTCTTCCCTTCAGGCCTTCGTGTTTTTCAGTAACTGGTCTTCGTGCAACGCTTTTATCCAGGAGCACTTTAAGAACAAAGGCGACGATGCTATGAAAATCTTCTTCGTCCCAAAACTGAACGCACCTGGATCCGAGGTACGGAAACTCGAGCACGCACTCGGCAACACGTATGGAATCACCTCTCCTCCAGGACGTTATTTGAATTGTTTGTTTCCAACCTTCTGGCATGAGGAAACCTTAAGAAAAGAACAAATAGATTTGCTGTAGTCCGTCACAGTTGCCTTTTTAGGTCAAGTTGAGGAAAAATATGGAATAAATCAATCCAGAGAAAAAATTTAATTAATCCATAATTTTCATTTCCAAATCAAACACCTGCATCAGATTATTGGGATTAAAGTTCTTTGTAGCCAAGAAAGATTTCTGTCATCTGTAAAAATGAGAAGGAAAACAATCGGTGATGCCTTTCAATCTGTTTATGATACCAGGATTGAACGGACGCACCAGAACCAGAATCCTACTTTTAGCCAATCAGAGCAGAGCAATGCTGTCCGTGCTCTGATTCCAGGGAGTGGGCAGGATCACATAGATCCAGGATCACAAAGGTCCAGGATCACATACATCCATGATCACAGAGGTCCAGAATCACAGAGGTCCAGGATCACATAGATCCAGGATCACATAGATCCAGGATCACATAGATCAAGAATCACAGAAGTCCAGAATCACATAGGTCCAGGATCACATAGATCCAGGATCACAGAGATCAAGGATCACAAAGGTCCAGAATCACATAGATCCAGGATCACAGAGATCAAGAATCACAGAGGTCCAGGATCACAAAGGTCTAGGAGCACAGAGGTCCAGGATCACAGAGGTCCAGGATAACAGAGGTCCAGGATCACATAGGTCCAGGATCACAGAGGTCCAGGATCACATAGATCCAGGATCACATAGATCCGGGATTGTGGAGATCAAGGATCACAGAGGTCCAGGATCACATACATCCATGATCACATAGATTAAGGATCATAAAGGTCCAGAATCACATAGATCCAGGATCACAGAGATCAAGGATCACATAGGTCCAGGATCACTTATAGATCACAGAGGTCCAGGATCACATAGATCCAGGAGCACAGAGGTCCAGGATCACAGAGGTCCAGGATCACAGAGGTCTAGGCAGTCAGGATCAACTATTATTGAGGATACTTTTAAAATCTTCAAACTTGTTCTTGTTTTTAACTTTTTAATTCTGGTCATTTTAACCTGCCAACTTTTTAATCACCTGCCGAAGTGAATTTTTATGGTGGCTTATAATATTAATAATAATAATAATAATAATGTGCAATGAGCGGGGAACGAAGCCAGGGGTCCTGAGTCGTTCATCACCCCAACTTTAAGGTCAAGATTACAAATCAAGGTCAAATATTATACAAGGTCTTTGCTTGAAGGAGTGGGAGGAGTACTGTGCTCAGGTCATACGATTAAGTAAATAAAAGTTTTTTTTAGTGAAAAAGTTTTTTTTCCTTATTCTTTGTTCTTGTTCTTTATTCTTGTTCTTTATTCCTTGTTCTTGTTCTTTATTCTTTGTTCTTGTTCTTTATTCTTTGTTCTTGTTCTTTATTCCTTGGTCTTGTTCTTTATTCCTTGGTCTTGTTCTTTATCACTTGTTCCTGTTCTTTATTCTTTGTTCTTGTTCTTTATTCTTTGTTCTTGTTCTTTATTCCTTGTTCTTTATCCCTTGTTCTTTATCCCTTGTTCTTGTTCTTTATCCCTTATTTAAATATACATTTTGTTTGTAAAAAACATTTACCGTTTTCAATCCATCCATTATGTTCACCCACTTCTTCTTGCATTTATTATAACTCTTGTATTGTGATGTTTTGCAGAAAAGGATCTACCAGAACATGATGAAACTGGCCAACACTGTAAGTTATAACCTGTTCATGTTTGACCTTGACTGAAAGCATCAATGTTTGAATTCTCTGGACTTTTTTTTTTTTTTTAAACCAGCTGCTCTTTGTTTTTCAGGAGATTCCTGATAGCTACTTTCTTGACGAACGGATTCTGTGCATTGAGACTTTCGACGCGTCCATAAGCTTTGCGGTTTCGATCGTGAAGGTGGTGGCATCCATCGCTCCTCTTGAAAACTACTTACCGCTCGGCAACAGGGTAACGACAACGCACACGTCTTTTTACGACTGAAACGATTTAAAAACGAACACTTTCACTTCACTGTTCCACCACCAGGTTTCCTTATCATCCATTCTCTGTCCAGATGACACACCAAGTACCTTCCTACCTGTCTCTAATTACTGTTGCTGTAGTAGTCCAGTCATCTGGAAGCTCTTTCTTACCTCCCAGAGCCTTTAACAGCTCCTCTCTGAACTCGTCACAACATTCTTCCTCCCTCAGCTTCCACCATTTGGTTTTCTTCTCTTCTTCACAACTATCATTCTACACACGGCCATCCAAGAGAAACAGTTGTGACTAATCAGTATAAATACAGGAAATGAATGCATGAATCTGATGCTGTCTGGCCAGCTCTCCCAACTTTTTCCACATAAACGCCCTCAAAGTTCTGACCAGTCGCACAATACATGGGGCATACCCTGCGAATAAAAGGCCTGTGCACTGAACGAGTTCTTGTAAGTCAAGCAAGAACAAAAAGACTCCCATCGTAAAAAAATACCTTGACGTCTTGCAGGGTATAAACCAACCTTAAGACTCCAAAACAGCCTTGATGCTCCATTGTACCGTGAGGCAAGGCGGTGGAGCTGAAACGAGCTGAAACATAAGGAAGTCAGTAGCTTTGCTGCTTAGTGTTGTAATGAAGACATCTGGTCTGTGTGACCATCCAACCACAAGATTAACCAACAGAGATTTATTAGAGACAAGATCTAGGATAACACACAGCCACTTTGTATTTAGTTAAAAATCTAATTAACCACAAAGAGAATAATTTAATAGAGGTAGTTCATCATGTTTAGATAATTTTATTTGTTGCGCTCCAAGTTAACCCGGCTAAGTTTTTCTCCACGCCTCTTGGTTCTGTGACCCTCGCTACATTAATTCAGGATTTAAAAAGAAAGTTTGAGAAACATTTTAAAAAGCATGACTCAGTCCATTTATGTACTTTTAAATAAAATAAAAATGTAATGGCTTAGAACAAAACTATTCAACTAAACTGCTCAGGGGCCACAGTTTCTGAGAGCCAGCAGCTCAGGGGCCGGACATCCAGCAGTTAAAGTCATTACGTAAGTAAACCAAGTATTACAGTGATCTGTTACGTTTGAAATTTGTTTGTTTTATTCCATAGAATTATAAATGCAGTAAATAAAACCCAAAACCCAGATTCCCCCCCCCCCCCCATTTTTGTTTTAAATGAACTCATTGGTGGGCCGGACTGGTCAGCAGGTTGCCATTTGAATAGCCCTGTTTTATGCATTCACTGTTAATGGCATAAAAATGCTATAAATTGCCTTTAAAAAGCTTTTATTTTTTATTGATTGGCTGATTTCTGTATAAAACTGTGTAAAAATATAGTTTGATGTAGTTAGTAAAATATATGAATAAAAAACATTAAGTGCTTTGTAAAGCCTGGAAAAGTAAAAAAAAAAAAAAATTATGTAAGCCTGGAAAATTTTTTATGGAAAAAGACCATTTTTAAAAAAAATAAATAAATAAATAAAAATTAATAATAATAATAAATAAATATATATAATAGATTACAAAAATGTACAAAAAACATAATTACACAGACTTTAGCGAAAAGTTGACATACTAGTAAATATCATTATTAACACATTATGTAATCAATACATTAAGGAATCTAGTTTTTATTTATTTTTATTTTGCCTGAATTTATGTATTTTATAAATTATTGGTGTGTTTTCATGTTAACACTTTGAGTCCTTCATAAGCACCTGCATATGAAGGACTCATTTTAGGACTCGGGTTTCTTGTGATTTTAAATAAAAGAAGAGTGCATCCTAATTTTCATCACATTGTTTATTTTCCTGCGTCAGATCTTCATTGAGATGAACAGTGCCAGTGCTGTGACCAAGGTGGTGCAGGAGCTCTCCACTGTGGACTACTACTCTCAGAACAACAGATGGTACGTTTGTCTCTAATTGAGACGATCGCTCACAAACGTCAACAATAATCTGTGTTTCTCACAACAAACCTTTCGTCTCGGCGCAGGTCTGAGGTTGGCCGCATTGAGTCGTGAGTATTTCCCTTCGTTTTTATTTTTTATGTTAAGATGCTTAAAGCGATTAGATTACAAGCCTGCAGCAAAAAGTAGGACATTTTGAAATGGGATTCCTGGTAAGAGTCTCTTTGTTGAAAATTACGTGTTTTTCTAAGCCCGTTGAAGGTGAGCCGTGTTCTGGTACAGTCTCTGTAAGTTGGCGAAGTTTCTCTTGTCCTGCCTAGAATGTCTGATCCGCTCAAGATAAGTTACCCAAACTTCATCCACACGTGCGTCATCACAAGACGGGGTGTCACGTACATCTTTCGTCATCACCCGAGAAGATTTTTCAACACAGTTTACTTGCGAGGGTAGACGGTCATGAGGAAGCTTAACAGTTACATGCTTTTAGCCTCGTCAGTGAGAACCTGCGCCGGACAGAGAGGCGGGAAGAGCTTTAATACACGCTTATTGGACAAAGACCTCGGCTTTCCAGCTTACAGAGAGGAGGCGGCCTTGGAGTTTATCCAAAAAAGATCTTGGAAGACATCAAAAACTCTACCAGCAAGCACATTTATAACACATCACATATTTGTTACATATTTGTACGCATGTGACGACAAGACGGTGAGATTTGTCCATGAAGCACTTCCATATAGCACCATAGTCCTGATAAGATGTTGGTGTCAGCCGGTACAGCTCTGATAAGCATTCGCAGAAGTTCGGGGGGGGGTTGTGGATAGAGCAGAGCCTTCCTTAGTTTACACATATCCCAGGAGAAATTTGATAAGTAGGCCTGCTTCAAGGCCGAACGGGGGATTCAAGGTTCTTTATTTGTCATACGCACCACATGTGGTACATGGGGTGGAACAAAATTGTGTACACAGGGTCCCAGTTACATCCAGTAACAAAATGTAAAAGAAAACCAGTAATAAGATCTTAGATATAAACTAAGAAAATGTTAATTAAAAATACACTAGGCACTAGTAGTATAAAAACAATACGCCGTCAAGACGACCTCAGCTTTCCAGCTTACAGAGAGGAGAAGACCTTGGAGTTATCAGGTGCCTCCGTGTGCCTGCAGGCTCCTCTCTGAGCAGTCAAAACAACTCTTAACACACATTAATTTAACATTAGTTACTGATAAACATCCACAACCTTTACCTAAATTCCCCTGACGATGTCACAAATCAAGCTCAACATGTATACAAAGCCTTTGCTTGTTGGGACCGTTGCTATAGATTTCTGTATAATAGTTTGTAGACAATCGTATAACGTGCTTTATGTGGTACTCGTTCTCACTCCACCTCTGAGAATCGGTTTTGTGTAAAATCTCCTGGCAGGACTTTTGAAAACGTCTATTTTTGGCATTTTCTCTCATTTTGTATCACCAACTTATCTCCCAAGAGCTGCAGTGAGATAAAATCTTAAGCAATTTTGTAAGAAGATTAAAATATTCTGTGGTAACTAAGTTTGTTCTTTCCACTTCAGTTTGAAGACTGCACAAGAGCGTCTATGGAGCACTGGTAGTCTTAGGATTGATCTTCAAATGTACTTAAGAACCACAAAGAACCAGTTTCTAAAAGAAAGGTGGGAGAAATGCAAAATTGCTCCTGTTGTATCAGAATTCCCTTCAAGATACACAGTTTCTGGATTCACCAAAGCAGAACCAGTTGATAAAACTCTGAAGAACAGTGAGAAACTAAAAAATGAGATCTCAAATCCAGATACGTGTTCTTTGGCTGCAGTTTCTGAAAAGTTGCCAGACACTCACAAGTCTCCCAAAGAAGACGATACACCCTCGGTGAGCGGGGTGGCAAAATCCGACCTTGAGGTGCCAAAAGACGTCAACGCTGCAAAAACTGATGAGTCAAAAATGGAAATGCCATCAGAGACGGATTCACCTGGAAAGAAAAGTAAGACAGGAAAAGGGAAAGAGACTGATGAGGGTACTGAAAAGATTAATGTAAATGTAGTGGTCTCTGTTGAAGAAGCTGCACCGACAGAAGTTTCTGATAGACAACCAAATAACATGGGAGTCAAAGAGGACAAAAAAATAAGTAATCAGACTGAACCTGAACAACTTGGTGCAGAAGAAGAAACTACAATCATAATGTTAGACTCTCCGAAGGATGGCCCTGCCACCAACAAACCAATGGTTGCCAGGTCCACGGGAGCAGAAAGTGAAATAATTATAATAGATGATGAAGATGTGGAGCCAAAGGAAGATGACACCCCCACAGAAAGGAAGCCCAAACCCACCAGAGATTCAAAGGAGGACGGAGAGAAAACTCTACAAACAGAAGTTCCTTCACAAGAAAGCTCACCAACAGAGACGTGTGAAGCTGTGGTTACTGACCCAGGGGAGGAGGAAGGTATTTATGTGATACTAGATATTGTTGAGGAAGAAGATGTTGACGAGGATCAACCAAAAATACAAAAACCAAAGAGTGGAAATTCATTGGGTCCATCTAAAATGGAAAGCAGGACGGAAACCAAGGAAAAGACCGATGGGGATACTGAGAAGATGGACTTGAACATGGTGGACTCACTTCAAGATAAACCTGTTCCAGAAGTTGCTGTGACAGACGGTTCTGGTGGTGAACAGGCTAACGGAAAAGTCAAAGAGGTTGAACAAATATCGAGTCAGACTAAACCTGAACAACTTGATGCAGAAAAAGAACCTTCAACTGAGATTTCAGACTCATTAAAGGAGCAACTTGCTACCGAAGAACCATCCATCCCAAGAACCACCAGAGCAAGAAGAGGAAAAGCTAAAACAGACGTTGAAGATAAAATACCCAAGAAAAGAGAAACCTCAACAAGAAGGAAGACCCCACCCAGCAGAGATTCACATGAAAAAGGAGAAAAAACTTTGCAAGAAGAAGATAAAACTCCACAAACTGATGTTCTTCTCCAGGAAAGCTCACCAACAGAGGCATATGATGCTCTGGTTACTGACCCAGGGGAGGAGGAAAGTACTTATGTGATACTAGATGCTGTTGAGGAAGAAGATGTTGATGAGGATCAACCATCAACACAAATGCCAATGGTACAAGAACCAACAGAAGACACTAAAACCATTAAAAAACAGACTGCAGTCTCACAGAGCGAGGACTTGTCCAGTATTGCGGCTGATGAAGACGACCTTTGGCAGATTCTTGACTCGGTTGAAGATGGTACCATGAATGAAGAGCCTCATTCAGAGGAATCGAACAGCGAGACAAAGTCAACGGTCTCTGAGGGTGACGTCAGACAGACCAAGAAGAGAGCACGGTCACTCGAAAAGAAGAGTAGGCAACAAATCGCTGATTCTCTGAATGATCAAATCAAAGATGGGCTGGTGACCAAAGGAGTTCCCAAGACGGAGACTGACGATAAACCGGATCAGGGGGAAGCTGAGAAAACAGCGTCTGCTAAATGCAAGCTTGACATCAGAACTGGTGGGTGGTTTTATGAACTAAACTCTTAAAATCGTTTAATTTTATTGCCTTCGATCATTTCTAGAAGAAGTTGATGGTTTTGATGTTGAGGTAGAACTTTATTTGTTATTTTAGAGGAAAGTTTGACCTCCGTAACGCCTCAAGAGTTTGGAAAGACTGAAGAGGAGGAAAGCGAAGCAACAACAACCAGAACAAGAGGCCGACCGAGGAAGAAGGCTAGAAAGACTCCTGGTAATCTTAGCACATTTACCTTTGTTTTCCATAAAATGTCTGCAGTAACAAGTCTGTCTTTAAGCTGCCTCTAATCATGTCCCTCGTTGCCGAGCGAGAATGGGGGAATTGGAAATAACCTCCCTCCTCCTTCTGTCTGTCCGTACATGTTGTAATCACAGTAACTTGTAAATATGTAATGTATCTATTCCCATTTGGTGTGTGGCTACATCTAGGCGTAAGAAAGGTTCTTTTTGAAAACTTGGGTGTGACAAAATTCAAGATGGCCACCGCCATATATGCCTATATACGTCCATACCACTTGAATATCTTGCACCAAGAACATTAAGATTTACTTGCATTGCCTGTTCAATTCCAGTCCAGAAAAACACAACAAACATTTATTAATAAATCTCAGCGACGGGGACATCGGCTTACCACTTGTATAAATTCTTAAGTTGCGTGATCACTCAGTGATGTGACGTCATCACTACATAACGTAATTTAGCCACAAAGCCAGCTTACCTTTTCACATAGTAAGTTTAAGTTCCATAGTAAGTAGGGCTAGACAATAATTCGATATCGATATATATCACAATATACTTTTATTCAATAACAGTGATAGGGGTTTTAAGCACATTTTCAATATTTCAATATGATTACAGAGTTTCACTGACACATTTCTTTTTCTGTTCGGGTTGAAGCGGCTGCTTCAGTTTCAACCCGAACAGAAAAAGCCGCGACACAATTACTTAAGTCCGTGGTGACGTAGATGTTACGCAGAGCTCGAGTCCAGAAGGCGTTAGCGATAGCAGGCTAGGCTAATCTCCAACACGCATTAAGTTTTTGTTTCAAAATGAGTTCCCATGACTGTCAGAATGTGACTGAACGAGCTTTCACAAGCGGAGAAAGCAGATGACATAACTGATAAGAGAGGAACCACTCATTTATTTGTACAGTCTGTACCGTTTTTCTGAGGCTTTTATATTTTTTATATCTATATCGGAACTATATCGTTATCGACTGAAATTAAGAAGTATATATTGATGAAAGTTTTGGCCATATCGTCCAGCCCTAATAGTAAGTAAAGTTTATTTATAGTGCACTTTTCATAGACATAAAAAAATACAAAGCGCTGTACAATAAAAATCAACGTTAAATTATACAAAGAATAAAACAAGCATAAGAAGCACAATAAAATCATGACATAAAAGCCTGGGAAAATAAAAATGTTTTCAGTTGCTTTTTAAAAACCTACACAAGAGTCAGCAAAACGAAGCTGCAGGGGCAAACCGTTCCACAGCCTTGGGGCCGCTGACCAAAAGGCCCTGTCCCCTTTAGTTTTCAGCCGCGTACATGGAACATCCAAGAGATTCATTGTCTGGGAACGAAGGCCACGAGCAGCAGAGTATTTGGTTAAAAGATGACAAAGGTAAGCAGGAGCTCGGTCATTTAAAGCTCTGTACGTCATCACAAGAACGTTGAAACAGATTCTAAACTCCACTGGGAGCCAGTGTAGTGAATATAGAACTGGAGTGATATGACAGTATTTGCTGGATTTGGTGAGAAGTCTGACAGAAGATTCAGGCAGGTAAAAAGGGCATTACAGTAGTCCAGACACAATGACACAAAAGAGTGAATAATTTTCTCTAGGTCAACTCTGGAGACCATAGGTCGTATCTTAGAAACGTTTCTTAAATGAAAGAATCAAAAACAGTAAAAAAGACTGTGTGACTCAAATGATGAGTCAAATGTGACTCCTACATTTTTTACTTTTGATTTGGCTACTGGGCAAAAAGAGGCAATAGTCTGACTGATTTTTGGATGTAGGTGACTGGGAGCTGTAATCAAAGTCTGCATCTTACTGGTGTTTAAAACCAAAAAGTTACTGGCAAGCCAGTCACTGATACGGGACAAACATTGGACGAGGATGGCCAACCTGTCCAGCTGGTGTGGTCTAAATGAAAAATACAGTTGAATGTCATCAGCGTAAATGTGATAGGAAATATCAGAAAAGGACTGAATAATGCCGCAAGTGGGTTGATATAAAAGGAAAACAAAAGTGGACCCAGAACTGAGCCTTGTGGCACCCCACAAGTTAAGGGGGCATAGTCAGAGGAGAATCTGTTTGTCTTGACGCATAATGTCCTGCGAGATAGGTATGAAGTGAGCCAGTCCAAAGCTGACCCAGAAATACCAGCCAGAACCTTCAACCTGTTTAACAAGGTTGCATGGTCGACGGTATCAAAGGCAGCGCTAAGATCTAATAAGACCAACACAGAGCATTTTCCTTTATCAGCAGCCATTAACAGATTGCTGTGGACTTTTACTAAAGCAGTTTCAGTGGAATGGTGTTTTTGAAAGCCAGACTGAAAGGGATCAGAGATTTGTAACTGACAGAACCAGGGTCTGAGTTGGGTTTCTACAACTTTTTCAAGTAATTTACTGAGAAAAGGCAGTTTAGAGATGGGATGGAATCTGGAAATGGAGCCAGAATCAAGATTAGGTTGATAACATATTGAGAGTTACACCTCTGTTACCACTAAACTTGGTGGTACAAAGGTGCAACAGTGCGGTTTGACTTCAAGTCCTAATGCATCCCTTCACAAATCACACCAAGGTGACCAGAAATAATTTTCTTGTTGCATTTTATTAAAGTTCTTGTCAGCCCTTGTCCTTGTCAGCCCTCACAAATTTTTTTTCCTTCTTCAGTGAGAAAATCCACCAGAGGGAAAACGGTGAGCGCTGAAGACGAGAGAGAAGAAGAAGAAAACGAGTCTCTGCTTCCTACTTCAGTTGATTCCTCCTCAACTCCAATCAAAGACTCGTCTGTATTGAATGTATCAAACATTCAGATCCAGGAGATGAAGGTGGAACCAGAACCGAAGACTGTTTCTTCTGAGCAGCAACTCCAGTCTGAGAGTCCTGATGGACAGAAACAGGAAGGACATGAAGACGAGGAGGAGGAAGGGCACAACATGGACGAGAGTACTGGTATGGTGAATTTAGCTACTTTTGCTTGAATGAGTTTGTGACGTGATCAAATTCGATCTATCATGTTTTTCACAAACTGTCCTAGATTAATTATTAGTTTTATGAAATATATTTAGTTTACATCAGGTATTCAGAAAAGCTGTAATTTCTGACAGTTTGGCAAAAATAATTTGAAAATATTATTTACCTTGCCATGCTATTAGCATGCCATATTATACCATACCATGCTATGTAACACCTTACAATGCCATATCATGAACCCATGCCATTCATTCATTCAACCTTTATTTAAACAGATAAATCACATTGAGCCTCGACGACTCATTTACAAGTAAGACTTGTGTGGACAGACAAAAACAGTGGTTAACTGGACACATGTAGGAGTTGGAGGCAAAAAAAATTCCTATCAGACTTTTTTTTCCTTGCCTGAGAAAAAAAAACTCTAATATTAAAAACACCTCGCACAAACAGCCCATAGTGACGTAGACATTCTGCAAACGGAGACGAGAGCGGTCAACAGTGCTTATAGATGCTCTCGAGGTCACTGTAAGAGTTCTGATAAGGATGGAATAATCAATGTCCTCCGGTGAGATCCATAAACATTCTCGAGGTATGTCGAGGAATGGCCAAGAATGACGTCTATTAGAATCCAAGAGTCCTGAAATGATGACACAAAGTTTATTCAGCTGGTTCCATCTGGTTATCAGTTGGAAATTCCTCAGGGAGGGGGTGGTGAGCATCAGATCACATGTTCTCCAGGCGAATTCAGATAAGATGACCTTCAAGACCAGCTAAGGGAACCAAATTCAGATAAACACAGTTGTTTTGGGGACAGGCAGAACTTAATGACATCTACCTTGAGTCTGTATTGGTCCACTCGCTTCCGAAATGTCCAAAATAACATGGCCACACCGATGGAACGTGCCTGAGTAAAATCCCCAAAATCTGATCCATTCAGCCCAAAACATTTGAGTCTGGGTACTCGAGGCATGAACCAAGCCATCATAAAGGCAAGCAGCGTGAACGGGTCCAAATTTGCTGCCGACGACTTCCTTGATTGTAGATAAAACCAGCCACCGGCCGAATCCAAAAAAGCAGGAACCAGTTATCGAAAATCCAATTAAATATGCGTCCTTAAAATCCACAGATGGCAGCAGAGATAGACACATCATCAAGTCTTCCAGTCGATGAGATATCCAGCTGTGTGTGTGCCCACAGGGCAAATTGGCTCACCTAAAGCCTGTCTTCTCTTCGAAGAAATGTTGTAAATTGAGTTGAGGACCCAACTGATCAAAACAAGTCCATAATTATGGTTCGGAAGATATGCAAGAGAGTCTCTCAGCAGTTTCACAGACAGACAGAGCAGCAAAGCAAAGCAGAGAGGGAGGGGAGAAGCATCCGATCTCGTCGAGAGCAAGTGGTGAAGTGTTCTTTGTTCAGCCCCAAGAATCTAAGTAAATAGCGAGTGGAGTGGGACATATTTAGTGCAGTTGTTAGCAACCATGAAGCTAAGCAAATCAGATCTATGCTATATGTAGTCCCACAGTAGGTTTACAAGTGGTGCACTGGTCATAAAAACAATCTTCCTAACGTGCGTTCACATTTTCAATCCTCCACTATTCACCATAAAGTTATCAAGGGTGTTGCATAAATTTAAATTAAACAAATAAAGCCCTTCCCTGTTCATTGTTTAAACAGTCAGTCATGTATGGTGAAGGTCTGATTAGTATTGACCTCAGCAGAGTTTATTTTTCTTTTCAGAGGAGTAAAGATTTCAGACAAACAATGCACTTCTTTGAGGACGACAAAGATAACGTTACTAAGTCTGATATATTTTACTCTACATTAAATTTATTGTTCTGGATAAAGTTTTACAAATCAATAGCCTATGCTAGGTTATCTTAATGTTAACTTGCTAACTTGAGAGGCACCTAGCTAATGACAAGCAGGTTGGAGGATTGAAGAGGATTTATTCTTGATTTATTTATTTTATTTTACAGATCAGTTAAAATAGACTTACTATGCTCTGTTCAGCAAAATACTCTACACAGTATTGCTCGCTGCTTTGTCTGTGCTGAAAGTGAAAGTGAAACTTAAGTGAACGGCCATGACTTGAAAATGGTCTTCATGCCCCCTCTGCTGGATACATTGTACTGGCTGGTTTCTAGCATTTTAGGGGTTAAAATTAGAAGTGTTTATATCATAATGGGACAATTATCACCAATGCTGATATGTCCCCAAATGCCTATATCAGCCTAAAATATCGGCCCTACCGATATATCGTTTGGGCTCTAATACCATGCTAAGCCAAACCCTAATGTGCCTTATACTAGCCATACCATACTATGCCAAGTTTTTCTGTACCACTTCATTTATAAAGCTCTTAAAAGAACATGGCTGACAAAAGAGCTGTACATAGAAGCATATGACAAAAGATAAAACATGCATCAAGCTACAGGAGAAGTAAAAATATAAAACAACAAACAGGAACAGTACAGTCAATGTCAACATCTCACTGTGGGTCAGAGGTCAGGGAGTAAACTTATGTTTTTAAATGATATTTTCATAGAAATTTAAAAATGAAATGAGACGCAGAGGGTGAAAATGTGTCACAGCACATCCCTCCAGAGCTTTGAACCTGCGGCAGAAGTTTAAAAATATTACCGTGACCTGTCACTGATTGACTGATTGTTCTGTTGTCATCCATCAGTCTTCATGAAGAAGCTCATCGAACCCGACGCAGACGGTTCTTGTTTGGAGACTTCTAATGTCATCGCTGAATTCGAACAGCTGCCGTTTGACGCAGACGCTCCCGCCGGTGAGTAAAATGCACACCTGATGCTGAGCCATTGTTTCTGTACAAACGTAAAGAATCAGGAAGAAAATGCCCGTTCATGTAATAAAAGAAAAACAGGAGCTTTTTTCTTCAACACAGACGACCAACCAGAACCTCTGTCCAGAAGTGAAGCTGAAACTCAAGAAGAGACGACGGAAGAAACCCAAGACTCTCTGAGGCCTGAGGTGAGGCTGAGACTACAAACATGGACGCTTTTTGTTCTTTGAGTGAATTTACGTCCAAACATCAACTCTTTGTTTTTATTAGAACTCTTTAAATGAAGCGGACGGCACCGAAGAAGAGAAGCCAGAAAAACCCAAACATGATGACATCACAGGTTGGTGTTTTTATGAACTAAACCTTATATAAAAACCAGTTTTCTCATTTTAGTCAGCCGAGGCTCATGGGTAATGCAGTTTTTAGCGTAAAGTTGCAGAACACCAACCGCTCGTCTCTCTGTCTTGAAGTCACGTTTTATTTTTCTGCCTTCGGATCATTTCCACAGGAAGTGGAAGGTTTTATTGTCGCTGTTAAACTTTATTTGTTGT